TAGCTTCAGATCACCACCTAGTTGTAGCCAATTTAAAACTGAAGCTGAAAAAGAACTGGACAAGTGGACAAACAGCACTACAAAGGTTCAATACAGCCTTCCTTCGAGATACTGACAAACTCAATGAATTCAAGATAGCTCTCAACAACAGGTTTCAAGCCTTACAAGATCTACTGAATGAAGAAGAAACTACTATGGAGGACAACTGGAAAGGCATCAAGGAAGCATTAACTTCAACGTGTCAAGAGGTTCTGGGCCTAAAGAAACACCATCATAAGGAATGGATCTCTATAGAAACACTGGACAAGATCAAAGAAAGGAAGAACAAGAAGGCAGCAATTAACAACAGCCGAACACGAGCAGAGAAAGTCCAAGCACAAGCTGAATACATAGAAGCAAACAAACAAGTGAAGAGGTGCATTAGAGCCGACAAGAAGAAATACGTGGAAGAACTAGCAACGACGGCAGAAAAAGCTGCTAGAGAAGGAAATATGAAACAGCTTCACGATACAACGAAGAAACTAGCAGGGAAATACAGTAAACCAGAGAGGCCGGTCAAAGACAAAGAAGGCAAGCCAATCACCGAAATTCAACAACAGCGTAACAGATGGGTAGAATACTTCGAGGAACTCCTGAATAGGCCGGCTCCAATGAATCCACCGGACATCGAAGCAGCACACATAGATCTTCCTATAGATGTCAACCCACCAACGACGGAAGAAATTAGAATGGCCGTCAGACAAATCAAGAACGGGAAAGCAGCAGGACCCGACAACATACCAGCTGAAGCACTGAAATCAGACATCGAAGCAACCACAAGCATGCTTACCTTCTATTCAAAAAGATTTGGGAGGAGGAACAAGTGCCGATGGACTGGAAAGAAGGACACCTCGTCAAGATTCCAAAGAAAGGAGATCTGAGCAAATGTGAAAACTACAGAGGCATTACACTACTGTCAATACCAGGGAAAGTCTTCAACAGAGTGTTGCTGAACCGGATGAAGGATGCAGTAGACGCCCAACTTCGAGATCAACAAGCTGGATTCCGTAAGGATCGGTCGTGCACAGACCAAATTGCAACACTACGGATCATCGTCGAACAATCAGTTGAGTGGAACTCATCACTATACATCAACTTCATTGATTATGAAAAGGCATTCGACAGTGTAGATAGGAGGACATTATGGAAACTTCTTCGACACTACGGAGTTCCTGAGAAGATTGTCAACATTATCCGGAACTCATACGACGGACTACAGTGCAAAGTAGTGCATGGAGGACAGCTGACAGATGCATTCCAAGTAAGGACTGGAGTCAGACAAGGCTGTTTACTCTCTCCCTTCCTCTTTCTTCTGGTGGTCGACTGGATTATGAAGACCTCAACATCTGAAGGAAAACACGGAATACAATGGACAGCTCAGAATCAATTAGACGATTTGGACTTCGCAGATGACCTAGCCCTCCTATCACGTACACACGAACAGATGCAGATGAAGACAGCCAGTGTAGCAGCAGTCTCTGCATCAGTAGGCCTCAGCATACACAAAGGGAAAACCAAGGTCCTCAAATTCAAGGCGGAGAACAGCAATCCAATCACTCTTGATGGCGAAACTCTGGAAGATGTAGAGTCCTTCACATACCTGGGAAGCATCATCGATGAACAAGGAGGTTCAGATGCAGACGTAAAGGCGAGGATCGGCAAAGCAAGGGTCGCATTCCTACAATTGAAGAACATATGGAACTCAAAACAACTTTCAACCAATATCAAAGTGAGAATCTTCAATACGAACGTCAAGGCAGTTCTACTGTATGGAGCTGAAACTTGGAGAACTACAACAACCACAATCAAGAAAGTACAAGTATTTATAAATAGCTGCCTACGCAAGATACTCAACATCCACTGGCCGGATACCATCAGCAATAGCCTTCTGTGGGAGAGAACAAACCAACTTCCAGCTGAAGAAGAAATTAGGAAAAGACGATGGAAATGGATAGGACATACATTACGCAAATCGTCAAACTGCATCACGAGGCAAGCCCTAACTTGGAACCCTGAAGGGAAGCGAAAAAGAGGAAGGCCAAAGAACACATTGCGTCGGATAATAGAAGCAGATATGAAAAGGATGAATTACAACTGGACGGAGCTGGAAAGGATTGCCCAGGACAGGGTTGGATGGAGAATGCTGGTGAGTGGCCTATGCTCCTTCACGAGGAGTAACAGGCGTAAGTAAGTAAGTAAGTAAGTCAATAACCTGCCTTCTTAACATGTCTCTAATTTTAAAAGTTGTACAGTCTTTCGGGGTTTTTTTGTTAAACCTTTTTTATATTTGTTACTGTTTTTTGAGTAAGTAACTTGTTGAAATACCCTGTGCTGAGAATTCTATATTGTACCAAAATATAATATTGGATAAAGCCATTAATAGTAATAATGTTTGTAGAAATAGACTAACCATAACTGTTAATATATTCATAAAAGACGAATCAATAAAAATAAGTCGTTAGTGCAGTGAGATTCTATGCAGTAGTGTTTCTTAATGATGTAATAAAGGTTGTAAATAGTTGCCAGTAGCTGTGATGTGGTAAGTAACATCGCTTGTTACATATTGTATTTTCGGCAACAGTTTGTATAGTTCTGAATACCACTTTAGTATCCGTTGTAAGTGTGAGCTGACCGCGTGTTCAAACCTGAACTGGTAACGATGTACGAACAGAAAAGTATGTGCCTTAAACAAAATTTAATATGCCAGTTCACTATCATTCAATTTTTGGAATGACGACAACTTTAGGATGTTCTATCAGATCTATAACAAGCATATGCGCTGAAGCATCCTCGAAAACAGAAATTTAGTTAATGGATTTGCTCGAAACCGCCTTGAAATAAAAAATTCCTTTACTGCATATGATAGTTGGTTTCTCGTTCATAGCCTGGAGACCGAGTACGGGCTTTCGCAGACAATAGTTTGATTTCGTATGAATAATGCTAGTTCCTGTCTCAATATCGTCGAGATGGCAAACACCTGTAGCGGCAAATAAATTTTCAAAATCAATTGTTTCTTAAGTATTTAGTATTGATGCTGACCTCATTGGTTTTACTGGATATAACTAGCTGATGGAGTTCGGTCACACATCAGCACCGAATCGCCGATCGATACGTCGTGCTACGCATCCTTCTAAATTACTATCCGGTTTATATCAAACTCAGCTCAATTTATCGACATGGGTTTTTTGATCATTTATAAAATCTCCCCGATATATCTTCAGGGTTGCTGGTTAGAGTTAAGTATATACATATCTTTACTCAACGATGAAACGAAAACCCAGACCGCTTGTGGTTGGAGTTTGGAATGTTCTATTGCGAATTGAACACTTGATACTCGATCAGTAAACTAACCACGAACAACGTCAAAATTGAAATAAATTCCTCTTGAAACGTATCACGTGTAAAAACTTAGATGGTCTTAATATCACAAAGTCTAAGAAATTTAGAGAACCTTTCAGATTTCTTAACCTGAAACTTAGTACGATTATTTCTAGTTCGTTTAGCTATCCCACAAGCACTTACCAATGGTAACCTTAGTTCTTATTTATAGTTGTCCCTCCCTGTTACTGATAAGACAACGAAAATTAAGATACTATAGACATCTATAGTATTAATATACATTTAAACCAGGTCGATCTTCAAAAAGCAGTCGAACTTTTTACGGTGTTTGCTATGTCATGGGTATACACTAAAGGGTAACGATCGGAAATGATCTTCATATTCAGTCGTCAACAATCACCAGGCGGGCAGCGATCGTTGTTGTCCCTATCGGAGATCATTTGCATGATAAATGCTCGGCCAAATACATTCTACGTTAACGAAATCCAATGAGCGAATATTCCACGAGGGTTTGTCGTGTCAGACGGTACGGAGACAGGCAAACTGCATAGTCCCCAACAATTTCTAAAAGCCTTAAAATGGGTGCTGTCGTGCAAACACCAACCAGGGTTATCTGTCTCCCGTGGTCGAGAAACACATCTTCCTCGTGACGCGATTCTCCTTGGAATCCAGAAGCGTTTGTGGTCATGATGAATATGAAGATGACGAGCAGGAGAATTCCAAAGACCTCTAATGTCATTTCATGTCGTTTGAGGATTTTCCTTGACAGAACAAACCTTGATGTTGAGAGTCCTAGCGATCTCCAAACTCCAGTCAGCGGATGAAGCCAGCTTGTCTACAGCGTTATTCGGAATGCTGTACGAACCACTTGCACCTGTTGGATGAGATTTTAGAAGCAAAGCTGTTTGAAAATGCCCTCATCAAATGTCTGTTGAGTAATGACCTCCCGCATATGTAGCACCATTTCTGTTGCTGGGTCGTGTTGTCACTCTATGTACTGGAAGAGTTGGTCTAACATTTGCCGGTCGGTTAGTTGTTCATGTATGGTGATCACCTCCTTAGTAGTTTCGTTAGGTTCAGAATTATCACCAGTATATATAATAGGTGTGACGTACCTGGTAAAATCACGTGGTAGTACCTTCACTACTGTGACGAATAGAGCAAGTGAGTCTATCTCGCCGTGCTCTTGTGAGTCAGATCCTATGTAGCTGGACCAGGCTTCTATATCATCGAGCAAGAATGACATGAGTTGAAGGGTGTGAGGCGAAAAAGTATCAATCTTAAACAGCTCCTGTGTCTGCTCAGTCATGTAGCCGAGCGCCTTCAGCTGGGTATATCCAGTAAAACCAATGATGCCAGAACCAATGCTGAAGACTTATGAAACTTTTTGAGGGGTATATACTTAATATCATGTCTCATCTCTAGTGTTAAACTTATTAGCATGGTCTGGATTTTTTGGAGGAACGCAAACTGAGCTACTGAATTTTCGAACATCGTAAATGGTACATACAACAGTTGTGAGTAATCAGTATCCGTTAGCAATATATGAAAATTATTCTAAACACTCGTACAACGAAGGTCATAATACTCGCCTTGTTTTAACGCCTCGGAGAAATCTGATCGTCAGATAGTTGCGCAGCGTTTGACCATCTGAGCAACGTTCTGGATGGTTTGTAAAGGTTTTAGTTTTACTTATGGATGTATCTGGTCAAGATACAAGCGATCACTGCACTAATTCATCTGAAGGACCTGTAACCGTTGCACAAGCGAAATATGATCCGTTTTTTACACGAAACCTACGAGTTATTGAGGATTTATTAATTGATGAGAAACGATATCACAGCACTCCCGGTTTCTGTGTTTCACAATCTCCTGCAAGAACCACATGGATGAGACGATCTCTTCTGAATTGGCTACGAGATGTAGGTTGATGTATTAGATTCTTACAACTATCATAGATCTGTATCCATCGTGGGACTGATGGTGAAGTTCTAGCACACACAGCACAGCTGATTGACCGTTATATGCACATAGTGCCAACTGAGCAAAATGAGTATCAACTTGTGGGTGCAACGTGCTTCTTCATCTCTAGCAAACTGAAAGAAACTGTACCTATAGCTTTAAGAAAAGTCACAGAATACACAGCCAATTCGCTGACAGAACAGGATGTCTTAGTAAGACTTTTTTTCTAATTCACTTATACTTCAGGCCAAAGAACTTACAGTGTGTATATCACTCATGTGGGACTTGACTTGCATTACCCCAGTAGATTTTGTCGCTCCTGTGGTTGAGTTCCTTGAGTTCGTACCTAGCTTGCGTCAAATTATTCGTCAGGCTGCACTTTGTATATATGTTAAAGCTTTTCACGGTAAGAATTATATTGTATGCTTTTTGTATTGTTTAGATTCACTTACTATTTGATAGAATCTGATTACTTTGTGTGGAATATTACGTCACATTGTTCACTTGTGCTAACACAAACAGTTACTTCAGAACCTAATTTGCATTGTTTCTGTTCTAGCAGTATTTAGCTAAATGTATTCGCAAGTGTTTGCTCAGTGCAGTTGTCTCTAATAGCTGAGCAGTACATTGTCTAATTGCCTACAATGATGAAATATAATAGTATTTCCAAGTTTCACATCCGATGCTTCAAATACCCTAGTCGGATATTAATGTCTGAATACAAATCGCTTGTCATCTTGGATTGACACATTTTTACACCCTAGATTTTTTTAAGAAACCAATGCTCCATCCTAGAAAAGCTGGTTAATTGCGACGGTTCTGTGCATATATATTTGACGCTTAATTGGGAAATATCTCGAACTTGGCGTTGCGGAAAAGCTATCAGCTTGGTTACTAGTATAACTAAAACTATCCAGTTTTCACCTGACGTGATTTCCAACACTAAACAGTTACTTTGAATTGAGTCTAGCCTCATATTTATGTATGACACTAAGCTCATAAATAAAGTTCACAGTACTAAGGCCTTAAATTTGTCGTTTATCATGTTCTGTTAATATTGACTTTAAAACTATAGGAGGTCTTGTAAGTTTTGCTGTAAACGTATGAAGCCTTACCCTACTAGTTTCTCTGAGTGCTGTCACACCACTGTTAGCGATTGATCGCTAATTTAAAAAAGCTGCTATCCAAGATTAATTTACCCTATCATTTGAACACCTTACAGGTAGTTCATGTTTCCTTTCAAGTGTCAGGTTAGTATTAATAAACTTGCAACCAGTGTCTTGCCATTCCTATAATTTTCCTAATATATATACCTCAGTGAATCTTCAAACCCATTGTGTCGAATCGTCTGAAGCAAACCGTACCCATTTGATGTTGCAATTTTATCGCATTCAAACTAATGCTCCAAGAATTCACCGCCCATGCTAAACAAACCAGAAGTAACGGAGTTAGCTGGGAAACCAAAAGCTTCAGGTGCGATACCGTCGTAGTGCCATCAAGTGCTATTGTAACGTTACAGTTTAACGTGTTCTGCGAGTAGTATCGAACATGTTACCTCAGAAAAAAAAGGTGATTGGAGAATCGTTACATCTCATGTCGCTCCGGATCAATTCACATGGTTTTGTAGATTGTTACTAGATATTCATACTTAGACTATTGATCCCATGTAACTTTGCACTCTGAACTCATTTTCGTACCTCGAGATGTTCCAACGTGAGAGCAGCAGGACGCCTTAGGGTCCTCTAGTCTTTTCCCTTTCACGAAGTTGATTTTTGTATTATTTCTGTTATCTACGTTCAATCCAATCCAGAGATAGATATAAGCAAACCAGTGCTAATTATGATACAAGTAGTAGTCCCGGTTTTTCGGGAAATTGTTTAAAGTTTTATACAGTTGATGCACCCATTTATGTGTAGCTATTTTAACTTCACTGTGCTCCGTTTATATGTAAAAAGCCGAATAATCAGAAAGAAATTCAATCTACTAAGGTAATCTTCCGTCTGGCACTAGTTAGACCTATCAGTAAAATACGACAAACGTTGATAAATCAAGACAACCTTAATAACACCAAAATTTAGACGTAGTTGACTTAATCAGGTTATAAGCTGAGTACAAACGTACGCAATAACCGTAATCACTGAGAAGAATAGCATGGGTGGAAAAAAGCTGTTGTGATGTGTAATAGTAGCTTTCAGTTCCCACGTTATATTTTGCAAAATCTATATGTGACAATTTAAACCGTCTGCTGTGACTCAAATGTAATAAATCTTCACCACGTTTCAAACACTGATTTTCTAGTATCCATACTTTTCATCCTTAAGTCTTTAGTGTTCCTCAATTATATTTCCTGTTAGACATTATTTTGACTTTTACTCATCATAAGGCAATGTGCAACAATTCGAACCGATGCACATCTCATATTCGTTTTATATATCATGACTTGTCGCTGACACTACACAATATCAGTTCATGAAATCACTGGTCATATAAACGATGAAAGACTTTCTTACTGGATTTTGTTCGACACCGGACAATTGTTTGAAGATCATTAACGGTGACATACATTCATTCACTTTATAATCCTTTAGATCACAAAACTTCAGTTAATTTTCTAAATGTAATAAGGCATTCAGTGCTGCATGGTTATGTTTTACTATCTCATCGTTATCCTGGTTCAGTCTTGTGATCTCTAGTTCTCTATGTCTGCGCTACTCAATGGTATAACATTGTGAACTGATATTGTTTCATATCAAATATGTTTTTATCAACTGACTTAGCATTCAATCATTCTCCACACAGTAACCTGGATTAAATCTAGTTGATTGTTGTATTTAAAATCAGATCGAATTTTCAGTGTCATCAGCACGTCTAATTAGGATTTCAGTGCATTTTTCCGATGACTTGTTCCAATAAGTCTTATTGTCAGTAATTTTTCTCTATTTTTTAGTTGAAGAGATTAGTACTTATATGCCCAGCTATATAGCAGCAGCATGTATTCTTTATGCTTTGAATCTAACTGTACATCGGGATTTAAGTGATACTGCTATCAGATCAGTTACCCGTATTCAGCGAATTTTAAGGCTTGAAGCAGTGAGTTCTTTTTAAATGTATTATTAATGGTTTTACATTTTATTTTAGTACTTCGAGAGTACCAATAAATAAATATTCTCTTAATAAAATTAAGTGATCATTTGTACATATTTCTCATTATGTATTTTGCAATTCTACACGTGGATATAAGTCTCCAAGTAGCATGTTACAAAAATTTTAAAGTAACTCGTAAAGCCCGTTATCCAAGTTCTTTCAAATAAAACGTTTGATTTCTCCACTTCATTTAATCAAGCCTGGTGTGAAGTTTAAACGCTTTTCCTTATTCTAGTAAATCCGGTAAAATCTATAACAAGAACTTATGTTAGGTTACTCTACTAATAATAGATCCCTACTATCTGATACGATAAACATTTAACGTATTACTTATTCGCAAATATTGCCTGTTAGTCCGATACCTTTGATTGTTTCTGGATAGTTACAACTTCGCATCGCTTAAGGACATCATTGTAACCAGATGCTCCTTTAAAATACATCTGACCCATGCATACGTTTCTTTCCTTAGTGGTGCCGACGATACAACCACTTTTTATGAAGAAAGTAAAAAAAAGTTACAGCAGGATTACCACTGGCTTCTATTCTGAGCCATATCTGATAACGTCTCAAGCCACTGTGTCGCATCATATCTAGGACCCCAACCGGGAGTCGTGAAGGACCAACAGAAGCTGGCCCTTTGCAACTTTCTTTCATACCACGACACCATGTCATACACTGACCACCTCTACCCTTTTTCTAACCAGTCCCGGTGTCCGCAAATAATAAATGACGTGGAATTCTCTGGGACGACATTCATAGGACATGTCCAAGCCGCCAAAGTCGATGTTTCAAGATAGTGACACCAATTGGATTATCGTCTCTGTGTCCGAACACACGTTGCCGAATCTCTGCATTACTGACATGGTGTTGCCACTGGATGTAAGCAATTCTTCGGATACGACGATGATCAAGCATAAAGAGTCGTCTAACATCCTCAACTCAGAGACCAAGATTCACAAGCATAGAGCAAAACTGCTCTCACTGACGCGTTGTAGATCCGACCTTTTACAACTAGACTAACATCACGAAGGCACCAAGTGTGGCCTAGATTTGCATAAGCCGCTCGCGATTTGACAATACGTGAATTGATCTCATCACTCACTTCACCATCAGCACTTATGCTGCTGCCTATGTATACGTACTTCTCGACTACTTCTACCTGCTCACCATCCAGGGTGAGTACAGGATTAGAATCCTTCCAGTCTTGTAGGAGTACTTTGCAATTCGAAGGTGCAAAGCACATACCATACTTACGGACACTGATTGCCAACTGATTAAGTGCGGATCGCGTGGCTTGGGCATTATCGCACAGTAAGACAATATCATCCGCATGCTCAAGGTCGAGGAGTCTTTCTCCAGGCAAAAGATCCACACCACCATTACTTACATCCATCAGAGCTGTTTCCAGAATGTCGTCGATGGCAAAGTTGAAGAGGAATGGTGAGATTGGCCAACCTTGTCTAACCCAACTGCTTGAATGGAGCAATAGAGAAAGGTGGTTGTATGCCCTCACTCTACCTAAGATGTTTGTATATAGGTTCCTTTAGGATGTTAATAAACTTCTCAGGCTCTCCCTTCAAAAGACAATCCCAGGGAACAGTCTTGTCCAACGAATCGAAGGCAGCCTTGCTGTCAAGAAACACTACGATTGTTAGTCTTTGATAAATATGATGGTGTTCTAACATTTGGCGGAGGGTGAAGATATGATCAATACATCCTCGACCGGAACGAAACCCAGTCTGCTCTTCGTGAGTCAATCTTTCTCGGGTTCTGAACAACCTACGAAGTATGACGAAAGCCAATATTTTGGACGCAATCGGAAGTAAACTTATCATCCGATAATTGTTACAGGAACGTCGTGAACCCTTTCTAAAGCTAGGGACAACTATCGACTTATTTCATGACTTTGGTACACTCTCTAGTTCCCAGACCTTAGTAAACAACACAGTCAGTTCCTTAGTCACCACCATCTTTAAAAAGAGCTGGAGGTAAGTCATCTGAGCCCGGTGGTTTGTAACGCTTCAAGAGTTGGAGTTCCTTGTAGACATCCGCCTCATTTGGTGGATCAGTCGTCGCCCCGGCCATGGAGGGCAGGACGGTCTGACCGGTGTTGCCGGAGCAGCAGGCCAGTTAAACTGGCCTAAGACAGTCAGCTACAACGTAGGACCAGGCACATGTATGCATCGGCCCAGGTTGCCATACCTCATTAGCACAGCAAGATGAACACCGGATTCATAGGAGTGGTTAGGTCAAAGGTGGTAATATATAAAAGAAAGATTGCAATAAGGATATAGTATAGGAAGAAAGAATTAGTTCGTAGAAAGAAAGATGTGAAGTGATCTTAATCTCTTAGTTTAAGAGAATACAGAGTGTGTATACACCGACGCCATTGTGATCGATTCTGAGCCATGTCACCAAGAGTCTCCAACGACTGATTACGATAGTCACGCGGACCCCAACCAAGTAGTCTGCATCTACCAACATGGCTCAGACTAGAAGTTAGTGTCTTCAAGCACTGATGCCACGTTTTGGTTTGGCCGCTCCTAATTCTTTCCCAACCATCTCTAACACCCGTTAGCATTGCACGACGTGGTAATTGGTGTTCAGGCATACGTAACACGTGGCCCAACCATCTCAGTCGATGAAGATTAACAACCTCATCAACTGATTTACCATCATTCCCTAATACTGTGCGTCTAACCTCACTACTACTTACCCGGTGATCCCAACAGATGCCAGCAATATTTCTAAGGCATCTGTGGTCAAATACTAGTAGCTTACGAGTGTCTTCTACTCTTAATGGCCATGTTTCGCTGCCTAAGTAAAAATGTTGATCCAAAGTATTTAGACCATATTCATGTAATAAATTATTGTCAGCATTCATTGTTCAGGATTATGGATTTCTATTTTAAAAACCATGATAAGACATTTTGAGTTGTTGAAATCTGTATCTTTAAAGCTGCAAAAACAAATCAATATTTAATTAGATTATCTAACATACTAAGTTTTTTATTTTCCGTTTGCAGCGCAAAATGCGTGAAGCATATCAGATTCTTCAAGCTTGCTTTGAACCTGGAACTGTGCAACTATCAAATGCTGTGTTAGAAGGTGATATAGAGCCCCCTGAAAGTCCCGTTCGTGAAGTACCGGTTCATCTTGTCCATCAACTACATTCCTCTTCTACAACACCAGTCAACACGACTGTATTACTTCCACTAGCGACTAGTATGTATATCCACCCACATCTTAACTCGTCTAATCAGTCTTCACTAACTTCTGTTGATATTCCTTCTCTATCTACCTCCATGGTTTTTGTAAATAATAGCGTAAGCTTTGATCGTAATTGTAAACCCACAACGTCCGCTTCTCTTTCAGCTTGTTCTACTTCATCCCCTCCTTCAGAAGCTGAAAATATGGGATTAAGTGAGCTAGAAAATGAACATTCTCGATGCGCTTATATTAATCGATCCCGGTTATCTATGCCGTTAATTCATTATTCTCATTCTACCCAGTTTTGTCATTCTAATGTATCAGCTACTGATAAATTAAGCGAACGCAAACTGATCCCATTAGTTTGGGAAAATCCAGTTTCAAATCGGACAAATCAGTATAAGTAAAATCCATACATCCGTTATTGCATTTCAGTTGTTCTTCTAAACAATCAGTCAGTTGTATTTATTAATTTCTTTACTTGTATTTCTTTGTATTTCATTTTTATGGGACAGTTGCTTGCTACTTTTGATAACCTTTAATCTAAATCAGTTTTCCAAATATATTCTCATTTTCGCTTTACTTAATTCCACAAACGCTGACACAAGCTGTCTACCCCATATGTGTTTCATATAAAAGCTCTTACTTTTGTACACAATTATGTTTTTAATTGTGTTTGGGTGCACATATACTTGGTTATGTTCATCGGTTTACCATTCCTTCACTAGTTGTGTGTTGGGTTTAATTTTTTTCGCTTACCGCTCGAAATTGTCGCAATAGTTAAAAACTTTTTATCTATCCCCTTAGCAAACAGAAAACAAACCGGACATTTCGAAATAGATCTGTAGTAAGCTCAATGTTAAATATTTCCATCAGTCTAAAGTCTATTGCTGTTAATCTATTTTTGATGGATAAGCAATTTTCGTACGATCATTTAAGATAGTTATGATTAGCAGGTTGCCAACGGTACTTATAAATAATCTTGAGTGGATATTTCATATATTTTAAATAGACTACCACAACAGCTTTCAGTCAGTCAGCTACAACGTAGGACCAGGCACATGTATGCATCGGCCCAGGTTGCCATACCTCATTAGCACAGCAAGATGAACACCGGATTCATAGGAGTGGTTAGGTCAAAGGTGGTAATATATAGGAGAAAGATTGCAATAAGGATATAGTATAGGAAGAAAGAATTAGTTCGTAGAAAGAAAGATGTGAAGTGATCTTAATCTCTTAGTTTAAGAGAAGACAGAGAGTGTATACACCGACGCCATTGTGATCGATTCTGAGCCATGTCACCAAGAGTCTCCAACCATTGGTTACGAAAGTCACGCGGACCCCAACCAAGTAGTCTGCATCTACCAACATGGCTCAGACTAGAAGTTAGTGACTTCAGGCACTGATGCCACGTTTTGGTTTGGCCGCCCCTAACTTTCTTCCAACCATCCCCTACACCGGTTAGCATTGCACGTCGTGGTAATCGGTGTTCAGGCATACGTAATACGTGGCCCAACCATCTCAGTCGATGAAGATTCATAACCTCATCAACTGATTTACCATCATTCCCTAATACCCTGCGTCTAACCTCACTATTACTTACCCGGTGATCCCAGCAGATGCCAGCAATATTTCTAAGGCATCTGTGGTCAAATACTAGTAGCTTACGGGTGTCTTCTACTCTTAAGGGCCATGTTTCGCTGCCGTAAATTAAAACAGAACGGACTGCCGCGCAGTATACTCGTCCTTTTATTGATAGACGGATATCTCGCCTCCGCCAAAGGTGACGTAAGTTGGCAAAAGCCAAACGAGCTTTACGAATCCGTGCTGAGATTTCGTCAGACACCAACCCATTAGGGCTGATCAGACTTCCAAGATAAGTGAAGTTGTCAACGCATTCGACTACTTCACTCCCTATCCTTAGTTCAGGTGTTGACGCAGACCAGTCCTGAAGCAACAACTTGCATTTAGAGGGAGAGAAGCGCATCCCAAACATTCTGGCATTGTTGCTTAGTGCTACCAGAAGACTCTGCATTTTGTCAGCGTCTTCACCAAACAGGACTATGTCATCTGCATATTCTAAGTCGATAAGTGGACCTCCTGGAAGGAGATCAATACCCGAGAATTCAGTCGACGAGAGTGTTATTTCCATCAATAGGTCTATGATGAAGTTAAACAAAAATGGAGAAAGTGGGCAGCCTTGACGGACACCACTTGAGGTTGCAAAAGTAGATGACAGTTCGCCATAAGCCCTGACTCGACTAGTAGTGTTCGAGTAAAGAGCCTTCACAAGGTTTATGTACTTCTGAGGTACGCCTTTCAATGACAGACACTGCCACAGAGTCTCGCGGTCTACAGAGTCAAATGCTGCTTTTAAGTCAAGAAAGACCACCATCGTCGGACGCCGATAGGTATGCCTGTGTTCTAGAACCTGACGAATGGTGAATATGTGGTCGATGCAGCCACGACCAGGTCTAAAGCCAGCTTGGTTCTCTCGTGTTTGTAGTTCACGAGTCTTAGTTAGGCGTTTGATAATTATCGAGGCCAGTATTTTAGATACTATGTTTGTTAAACTAATCCCTCTGTGGTTGTCACAGGATGATTTTGACCCTTTCTTATATATTGGGACGATAAGTGATTGCGACCAGTCAGATGGGATAACGTCTAATTCCCAGATCTTAGCTAAAATATTAGTCAACCTAATCGCTAAAATTGGACCACCATCCTTAAAGACCTCTGGAGCCAATCCATCTGGACCAGCTGCCCTTCCTCGTTTCAGATTAACTATAGCCTTCTCAACTTCAGCAAGAGTTGGGGGACCTACTTCAATGTTCCATTCACTTTGTCTGGGAATGGAGGGTAGTTGTAGAGTAGCTGAAGGCCAGCTGAACTGTTCTCTAAAATGTTCCGCCCATCGTTCTAAACGTCTGGACTGGGAGCAGATGAGAGTATCATCTTTTTCCGAAATAATCTCACTTACACTTGACTTATTAATTCCAGTTTCTTTTATTAGTCTGTAAAGCTGTCTTGTGTTCCCTATAGTCGCCGCCTTTTCCATCTCTTTTGCTTTCGTTACCCACCACTGCTCACGGTCGTTCCTTAGACTTTTTCTTAACCTAGATCTGATTTGTTTACGCTCTTCATCATGTTCAGAACCTGATGGGACGAGTTTGCGAGAATCCATCAGTGTGACAGACCTTGAAGAAATCCACTGGTTCCTTGTAACTCTGTGGTTTAAGTCACTAATAGATGTCACTGCTGTTTCCACAGCTGCTTGTATGCCCTTCCAAGCAACATCTGGGTCAGCCTCGTCTTCACAACTACCTAAGTGTGACCTCAGTTGTTCCTGGAACCTACTTTTGGTTTTCTCGTTACTCAACTCAGTTCTAATGGGTCTTTTTAATGTGGCTTTTTTGCGTCCAGTGAGGCGCAAGCAGATGCGTGCCCGTATTAGGGCATGGTCGGAGTCCAAGCAGGTACTCCAGAATGAGCGACAATCTTCTACCGACCCTCTCCAACGATGACTGATGGCAATATGGTCTATTTGAGTCCATCGTTGGTTTGGTGTAGGGGGTCGCCATGTTAGACGATGTCTCTCCTTATGCTTAAAATTTGTGTTTGCTAAAAATAAACGATTGTCTGAGCATAGCTGCAGCAGACGATCACCATTATCTGTTCGCTGTGTCGGAATACTAAAATATCCACCTAAATGCCTTTCTGTTTGGTTTAAACTGCCTATCTGAGCATTAAAATCACCTGCTACGAGTACTATGTCTGAGCGTTTAGCTTTCTGAAGAAGTTCGGACAGCTTTCTGTAAAATTCATCTTTCACTTCATCTGAGCTGCAGTCAGTGGGAGCGTAGGCAGAAACGACAAAAAGGCAACGACGTGTGTCCCTATCCTTCCGAGTTCTTACGTAGCCGTTCAGCCGAACAGCACATAGACGACTGTTGACGGGGATCCACTCTAGCAGTGCTTGTTCGGCCCTCATGCTTAGTGCTATGCCTACACCTGCCAGTCCACGAGAACTTGCCATCGGGTCACCAGACACACGAAGGGTGTATCTCGTTGGCTCTCCGTTTGCCGAGGTGAGGTCAAGTGAATGACCACACTGGAATCCTGTATGCGTGTTTCGGAGACACAGCATACATCAATGGAAAGAGACTCTAGGGTTTTAGCCAAGGAAGCCTGCTGACCGATTTGACATAGGGTGCGTACGTTGAAGGCTCCAATGTGTAGTTTGGAGCGAGGTTTCAGTAGACCTGGGACAGTGTTTTGCGCACTAGAATCGTTGGCTACGGTGACACTTGAGGTGGAAGCCGAGAGAGGAAATATAGAGTTGAAAGTCGATGTAGGAGGAATAATAGGAATTGAAGAGGAGGTTGATTATGAATACAGTGGTCTTGAGTGCTGTTAGAAGTATGAGGGCGGTTATCACTTCCCGGTTGCCCACACCGTGGAAGGGTTGTTCTGGAGGTACCTGAAAAGGAAATTGGATTAGAAGTGGTCTTAGTGACCTGAGAGCGTGACCGCAGTGCCCAAGGGACAACTGCTTGAGGTCGGTCACACACGACCTTGTTATGGGTAATTTTTGTGTTAGCTCCGTACTTATTGAGACCTTACCGCCGGAGACGGATATCCGTGGGATAAGGCGAGGTGTGCATTTTTAGGGTCGACCTTTTCTAACCCCACCCCTCCTTGTGGGAAGGCAGCATCGCTGTCATGCTGGTTGTCTGAAGGAAACACCTTACTGCTGTCACACCTCTGTACAGTCAGCAGTACGACTTCGCCTTCGGACCTTGGGTTTGTTGCTTTTAGTCTTACCGCTCTTCAACCGACCTGTCTGACATGGTAGGACCTTGAGGAACGGTTGTTCCAGCCAGTATAGCTCGGTTGCTTCATCACGATAGGCAAGCCCGACCACCACGTCAAGGTAGCAACAACGGTCTGGACAACAGCTTTTCATCTTAGTATTAACAACTGTACAGCTGAGTTTCAGTTCTCTTTACCATAATGTGATTAAATCGTAACAACTATCGTGAAGGTTACACAAACTCAGTAAATTATGTATTCATTATTAATTTTCCCACTTATCTTTAAATTTCTGATAAATGTTGCTTACGATAATGTTCGATGACTACTTGTAACAATAATAATTGTGTTATTGAAGTAATCTAAATTGAGAACTGTTATGGACAGAAACAAGGTTGATATAAATATCCGATTCTCCGACTGAGTAAGGCGCTAAATTTTCAGGTAAGCATTGCTGACATAGGTATTACCTACCGAGTTCACGACTTCTTTGACGTCGACTCGTTATTGAATACCGCAAGTCACTTAACTAGTTAATTTTGTGACGCTGTTAAGTGTGTGGCTGGTGATGAGTTTATTAATGTGGATCCACTTAAAACGCGCAATCTTTATATCCTGTAATCCTTAAGTGAAATCCAACCGCGAAAAATCTTTGAAATGACATGTTTTGCATCCAAAGATACCACAGTAAAATGGTGGGTTTTTATTTCATTACAAATACGTACTGACTTCGTTACGCAAGTTTATTGAAACTGAAAAAACAACTATATTTACGAACAATTTTTATGTCAGGATTGTTATAAATTCCGTTATAGTACATGTCTAGGAAAACAGTCTCATTACTCTTCACACAAGCGACACACGTGTAGATATATCACATACATACACTGATGCTTTCTTACATATTTCATTCTAACAGTTGAGACTTCTCGCTATGTATTACA